ATTTACTTAATAATTATTTATAGGACATTATCTTTACCTATTTTAATGACATTTATACTTTTTATAAGTTTTTAATTTCCTAGTCACTGTTAGCAAAATGCCTTAATTTTTTTTTTTTTTTAATTACCTCAACTTAAAAATCCAGAAGTTCTAACTTCTGGTACTTTAATTTCATTTTAACAACTATTACTAAGTATAAAATTATATCGTGAAAGATCTAAAAAGTTAATCAGTTGGAACATGTAATATTAGTTGATTTCCTCTGTTCATTAGGGGAAAGGGTTAATTTCAACCTAAAAGTATTACACATTTGTGTGGGAAACTTGGTCTTGAAACTAGTCATCAGAACTCCACAATTAGGGAATCTCTAGTTAAGTACTATAAAAGTGAGATTATTATTTTTGTGACCTTCATACTTTTTTTTACCTTCATATTTTAAGTATTTTCATAAGTGTTTCTCAAGAATAATTTTTAATGACTGTAATTTTGGTGAGGTAATTCATGTAAATAATGATTTTCTTACTAAACATTTCATTTGTTTATAATGTTTTGCTATTTCAAAAATAATAGTAATTTAAGTCTACTTTAAGACTTTTTTCCAATCTCATCTTTTTATATTGGGGTTTTTTTAATCTCACTTTAAGGATAAGGTTATCTTTATGATCCTTATAGCTATATAAGCACTCTATTTAGATTTTTTTATACTTCAGAATGTCCTGTAGATATTACATAAGCAAGCAGATTGATTCTATTCATTTTATTCATAAACTGATTGTACTCAGAATATTCTTTATTGTATTAACAAGGGTTTTTTAAATTTGATGATTGATACACTTACTCAGTCTTCTACACATTGTATATTTATGTTCCTTTTGTTCCGTTGTTGTTCATGGTTCGGTTAAGACTAATAGGTCATAACTAATTTATAAAAGATATCTTCACATTGTAAATAACAAATCATTGTCATGTTTGTTGCAAATAAAATCATGTATCTTAATTTTTTTTTTAGTGAAAAGTATTAAAGCATATCAGTTTTTCAGCCATTCATTCATTTATTACAACATTAATTATAATACTCATAAAGCAACTACACTCTTCTTGTTTCCTTTTTTTAATTGGGGGGGGGTATACCGTCAAATCATATCTGACTGGTACAGGAGGAGTACATTGACCCTCCTTCTCCAGCAGAGCATCTGGTGGATTCGAACCACTTATGTCTGGGATTGCAATGCAGTTTCCTGCCACTAAGCCACCAGAGCTCCCATAATTGAAATTTTAATGAAAGTTTACAGAGATTTGGATTTCCATTCATACATTGTTGCACATTTTCTCTTCCTGTTTCTTGTGATTCTTGTTTCCATTACTTTTTCTTTCCCATCTTGTTCTTTGGGCAGATGCTTCCCTTTGACATATATGGTTGGTTATTCAAAGTTGTAAGAGAATCCTTGGTGTACGGAGAGTTTTATAATTTATGTAATGAGCTCTTTATTTTTTTAACCCATTCCACTTAATTGTACCAAGTGTCTACCATGTTTATTTATATAATGAGTTTGTTCCTTTTTATAAGTCATTAAGTTGAATTTCCTTCATCTCTAATTAAAATGCTAATTTTATTTACTTATATATTGCAACTTCTTGGACTTTCTGTCCTATGCGTGGGTAGAATACACAAGCATTGTCATTGCTATATATTGTTGTCGTGTACCATCAGGTGAGAACCAACTCATAGCTAATCCTCTAGTGTGTTTTCAAAGGAGATTACCCATCATTCTTCCTCAGAGCACATGGGGGATTTGAGTTGCTTGCCTTTGCAGTGCAACTGCTTGCTAGAACCAACAGATAATGCTTCCTACCATATAAAAGGCACTGTGTTTTTTCTAGAAATTAAATCACTCCTATGATCAGGTTCACTACCTCCTTTCTCTTCAACAATTAAATGATTTGTGTCTTTATAGTGTTTGCTAGGAAACACTGTCATTTTTCACTTTATTCTACTACTCTTACCGTAAACTCACTGCTCATATTGTTTCCTGATGACCCTTTTCCAGTTGTTGTTGTTGTTGTTGATTTATATGCTTTTTTAAAAAAAGATACTATATTTGTAGGTAAAGGAACTGAATGTGTGTGGCCAGTTTTCTCCATGAAGAGCTGCCTTCCTTCCCAAAAAAAAAGACCTGGATAGTGATAGGTTAGCTTTACTGAATATTTGGTTAAAGATTCTCCAGAAGAATCTTGATCAAAAAGGAAAATTCACCACAACAAGATAAACAGTCCAATTGAAAAATGGGCACAGGATATGAACAGACACTTCACCAAAGAAGACATTCATATGACCAACAAGCACATGAAAAAATGTTCAAAATCCCTAGCTCTTAAGAGAGGTGCAGATCAAAACAACTATGAGAAATCATCTCATCCCAGTCATAATTGCAAAATTTAACAGAACAGCAAGCAACAAATGCTGGTGAGATTATGGAGAAACTGGAATCCTTATTCACTGTTGGTGACAGTATAAAATGGTGCAACCACTGCAGAAGGCAGTGTGGTGCTTTCTCAAAAGGTTGCAAATAAAAAGAAATTTTTTTAAAAAAAAAAAGGTTGCAAATAGAGATACCATTTGACCCAGCAATTCCACTACTGGGAATATACCCCAAAGAAACCATAACAGCTACCCAAGCAGATATATGCACACCCATGTTTATCACGGCTTTGTTCATGGTAGCAAGGAATTGGAAACAACCTAAGTGTCCATCAGCAAATGATTGGATAGAGAAGCTGTGGTATATTCACACAATAGAATACTACGCTGCATTGAAAAACAAAGAACTCATGAACTGTTATTCAAAATGGGTGACCCTAGAAGACATGCTGAGTGAAATATCTCATTCACAAAAGGACAAATACTGCATAGTGCCACTGTTGTAAAACAGGACTGACATTGGGGTTGGGGGAGACTGAGAGAGATGGGTTCAATAATGTATACTGCATTGAAACAAATGAGGGAGAAAACTGTTTAAAAGGGATATGTGATTAGGTTATTATTGTCCAGAAGGAAGGCTGCATAGTAGAGTGGACCTGGGGGGAAGTATTGTAAAACTATGAAAGAATTTTTCTTTTACTTTTCAAAGAGAAGAGTGTACTGGAGGGATATGAGTGGGTAGGGAGAAAAGTACAACAATGAATGGATGAAAACCCAAAGTGTCTGTAAATTTTCTTTAAAATTAATTTTTTAAAAAGGGAAAATTCAGAACAGAAATTTAAAAATCTAATGAAATCTCTGTAATCTCTCTGGATCCAGGGAGCATAATAAATCCAACAGTTAACTTGTAAAAAATATGCCTTAAACATTGTCCTCTTTTAAGTTCTATCTCTGTACAATCAAAGTGATAATAGCAACCTCAAACATTAGAATCCAAACTCAGAGCAATGAGTTTATGTTAGTGCTGGGCGTATAATTAAAGTCAACGGAATTTTACATGTAAAAAATGTTGGGTGGGGCGGGGGGGGTTTAAGTGTTGGGTGTGGTGTGTATCTCTTGGATATAGTCTCAACAATTGCCAGTGATTTTGAGCATTTCTTCACATGTCTGTTGGCCACTTGATTGTCCTCTATGAAAACTCTTTGCATATCTCTTACCCATTTTGTAACTGGGTTATCAGTGTTCTTCTTATGGAGGTCCTGTGATCTGTATACTTTCGTCGTGTCATTGGCAAATGTTCTTTCCAAGTCAGTAGGTTTTCTTTTCACTCTATTGGAAAAAGTTTGTGATGTACAGAAGGACTTAATCTGTGGAACGTCCTGTTCATCAGTGTTATCCTCTCCTGGTTGTGTATTTCTGATTGTTTTGCCAGCCTCTTTATACCATCGGCTTTCTAAGTTTGGTCCCATTCTGTCTTCTGTGATTCTTTATGGTTTGGGGCTTTACCCTTACGTAAAGGATTTTTATGTGATATGTGGAGCATAGTTTTTAAAGCTTCACTTTCATTTAATATTAATATTAAACATTAAATATGTTGTAGGCCATCTGCCTCAGTTTCTTGTCTCCTGTCTACTATATTCTTTCTTTATATTATTTCCCAAGTACTACAAATTCTGTAAATCTTTGGAACCAAAATTTTCAGTGTTTAAATCTCCATTGTACATGTGTTTTTAAGTTGGGAAACTTAAGATGAAATTCCAACATACTTAACCATTATAACATGTACTAGATATTAACACATTATAAAGTCTACATTAAGTGGTATTTTGTACATTCATATTGTTATAAAATCACCTACTCACCTCTGTTTAGTTCCTAAATATTTCTATCACTCCAAAAGGAAATATACCAGACCACCCTTAAGTAGTCAATCCCCATGCACCCTGATGCTATCATCCACTAATCTTATTTTTGTTGTCTCTCTGCTATATCTCTTTTAGCTACTTCATAGGAACACTATCACAAACTATTTGACCTTTGTGTGTAAGTTCTTTCACCTGCCATTGTATTTTCTAGCTCCATTCACATTTTAGTATATACCAATTATTTATTTCCATTTCTCCGTATTCTTAACCCACACTTGTTCTTTTCCAGTTTTTCTTAGTGGTGGTTTTATTTTATTTTAGCCGTTTTAACAGGTATGAAATAGTATCTCATTTTGGTTTTTATCTCTGCTTCTTTAGGGACTAATGATATTGGTTTTCCATACTATTGTGTTTATTTATGCCCATAAAACCTAAATCTAAATCCATTGTTGTTGAGTCTGTTCTGATTCATGATAACCCTCATTGAGTTTCAAAGGCTATACATCTTTGTGGGATGAGATTTCTCATCTTTCTCTTTTGGAGTGCTTGCTGACTTTGAACCTTCATCTGAACCTTTTTATTAATAGCCAAATATATCGTAGATAGATAGATATCAGCTTGTGTTTATATTTTTCTAAATGTCTATCCCATATAGAGTGGATAACTTGTCTTTCCTGTGTATTGACTTGATACACTTATTGGCCTCTCACAGGAAACTCCTGTGCTTACCAGAATAGAAAAACAGAAGCGCAAAGAGGAGGAAGAAGAACGTCAAATTCTGCTAGCGGTGCAGAAGAAGGAGCAGGAGCAGATGCTGAAAGAAGAGAGGAAACGGGAGTTAGAGGAAAAGGTCAAGGCAGTGGAAGGTATGTGTGCTTCCTGTGCAGGAATGGCACATTTGCAGCCAAAGATCAATCAAGCTGGGTCCTTTCGTGTATTGAAGCTGTTTCTGAGAATGCCTGTTTAAATAGTTTGTAAATTCTCTTCTGGAGTATTTATGTATGTTTAGCAGTCTCACTGCATCTGTGGTTTTGCTAAAACGTGTATTTCTCGTTCTTGATGTGCCTACCTTGTCTCTTGCTTTGATATCTGTTCTGTTTCACTTGTAGGTTAGCAGATTTTGCTGTTAGGTGCTGTCGAGTCAAGTACAAACCTTAGTGCCCCTATAAACAACAGATCTTAACACTGTCCTTTCTTGTGACAGCCTCACAACCTCTGATACTCTACCCCATTGCTGTAGTCACTGTGTCAGTCTACCTGGTGTAGGGTCTTCCTTTCTTTTGCTGTCCCCCAGTCTTTCCCATTATAATGTCCTTTTCCAAGGAATAGCCTTTCATAGCAACATGCCCAAACTATAAGAGATGAAAGTTAGCCATCCTTGCATCTGAGGAGCATCCTGGCTGTACCTTCTCTAAGACATACCAGTTTGTTCTTTTGACAGTCTGTGTTTCATTGGTGTGCCAGAGTAATTTGTTGTTGTTGTTGTTGTTGTTGTTAGGTGCCGTGGAGTCAAATACAACTTCTAGAAGCCCTATAAACAACAGATCTGAACCAACTTCACAGTCTCTGACAAACTCCAGCCCATTGCTGTAGTCACAGTATCAGTCCACTTGGTGAGGGTCTTTCTCTCTTTTACTGATCCCCCACCTTTCCAGTTATGATGTCCTTCTCCAAGGAATAGCTTTTCCTATCACGATGCCCCAAGTTGCAAGATGAAGCTTAGCCGTCGTTGCCTCCAAAGAGCACTCAGTCTGCACCTTCTCTAAGTCTGTTCTTCTGGCAATCCATGTCATATTCAGTACTCTTCTTCAACACCACAATTCAGAGTCATTATTTTTTCTTTTTATTTCCAGCTCTCAGCAGCCTAGCAAGTAATTGAAAAGATCATGGTCTGAATCAAGCACACCTTAGTCTTCAAACTAACATTATTGCTCTCAGTCATTTTGAATAGCCAGTAACAGAAGTAGTAGAGTATTAAATAATTGCAAATCTCTCTTGGAAGAAGTACAGTGCAGCAAGAGTGTTCCTTAAAAACATGGATGGTGCAACTTTATCTCACAAGGTCGTCATTCTAGGAAAAATGGAGTCAGCAAAAGAGCAGAGGACTTCTGGTGAGATGAATTGATAGTAACTGTAACAGTGAGCCCAAGCAAAGCTTATGAGAAAGGTGCAAGATTGAACAGGGTTTTGTCATAGTGTACAGAGTTCCTATGAGGTAGAGCCAGTGTGGAGATACACGTTGTCATGTGGCATTAAAACAGAATGGAGTCACAGCTGACCCTCCAGGGGTTTCACAGACGAGGAGATTGCCCGTCTTTCTCCCCCAGTGAAGCTGCTGGATTTGACTTCCTAAGCAGTACCTCGGAGTGGATGCTGACCACCTTCAGAAAGTTCTGGTAGGGAGTTAAAACTTCTAGCCAAAAGACTATGCCTCTCTAATAGTACACATATGCCAACTGCTTCAGTGGAGAAAGAGTGACAGTCTCCTCCTGTGTTATATACATGGATTTGCATGGATGATGGAGGTCAGCTGTGAGTGGGTTCGGATGGTTCCATGGCATGAGACAGTAGTTTAACACAAAGCGTTTGCGCCATCTAGAACCCTAAGGAAGAATGAACCTCTAGCGCTGACCAGGGTGGGGGGGTGGGGGGGATGTATGTATGTACAAGGAAACTGGTAAATACATGGGTAAATCTAAGGAATTAAGTAAATGCAACAAGAATGATAGATTTGAGAACATATGAAAAACAATATAGTAAAAAATACTGGATGATACAGTAAATGCTCTGAGAGCCACAACTCGACCACCTCTCTGGATTCTGTGCTTTGGACAAGGTGCCATCTTAGCACTTTTTATGTTTTAGTGGAAAACAAAGTGAAATGTATGAGAGTTGTAATTCACTCAGATTGCCTTATATTTTTTGGGGTCTTGGAAATTTTGTGCCTTTGACAAGATGCATTCTTACTGTTATTTTTCTTGTTATTTGCCTAGCTGTTTACCTCTAAGTAACCAGAGCTCCCTAACTGCTCCCTAGTAGTAGATCAGGAAAACTCCTCAACTCATTGCACCCATAGCTGACCCTCCAGCAGGTTTTAAGAGACTATAAATCGTGCAGGATGAGATTACTCATCTTGCTCCCTCAGAAAAGCTGGTAGATTAGAACCATTTGACTTTGAGTTGACAGGGCAGTTCTTTACCCACTAGGCCACCAAAACTCCCTGTTCTTAGTGAATAATGTTTGAGCTTTCCTTCTCTTGCACAACTTTGACTGTGGTGTGGCTGCCATAAGGCTAAATACTGGCAAAAGAAAAACACATTTTCATATTAATTGCTTCTATTACAAATGTTATTGTAGAATTCTCTGTAATTTTCCTTTGAGTCAGCTCTGGATTTTGGCAGCCTTACATACAACAACAAAACAAAGCATTATCCAGTTGTATACCAATTATAGTTGCCACAAAGAATGTATGTATGGAAACATCTGAGACATTACTATAACTCTTAAGAATTCACCCAGATGTATGGATTCACTATAATTATAATTACCTGGGTTTTTGTAATTTTGTCTTCTTATAAACCTAAAATTCAAATGAAGTCAACAAAATTCCATTTCCTACCCCAGAGTAAGGGAATATTATATGGCATAAAACATAGTAAATACATAACCTATTTTTTTGCATACTTCAACAATTAAAAAGGATTATTAGTGGCACAAATTTATAATAAAATATGTGTTAAAGTTTTATGACAGGTGCATGAATAGTTATAATTCATTCAATTAAAATGTTCAAAGTTGAAATAATTTTTTTTCTAAAATAGCAAGTAGTAAGTTAATAACAGCAAATGTGTGTGGTTCATTAAAGTGAATATAAATTATTCAGAGTTTATGAATTTAAAAAAACAAAGTATTCCAAATGGAACTTTTCAGGAAGATTCTAAGCCATACTGATAGCAGTGATGGGAAATAAAGCCTATTACTTGGGATCAGAAATTAAAATTGGGATGAGGAGTAAACAGTCTATTCTGACTTCTCTTTCTTCCATCTTGATGTCTTGCAGCATGACATTCTTTGTTACCTCCCTAACTTGTTTCTTCACTCCTGATCTTATTCTCTGCTGACAGTACTGCCCTATGTGGTTGTGAGTGGAATGCCAAGTGGTTTCACATGGGTATCTGTCAGCCAGGAAAAATTTTTATCCTTAGCTGCTAGCCGACTCCAGCTGGCATCTTGCCCTTGTTCACAGCCAAACCTGCCACGTCCACTGGCTCGGTACAATTGATGCCACTGTAAATGCAAAATATTGAGCGCTTACTTACTCTCTTCTTTAAAATCCTCTGTGCGTCTAGATTCCTGTCTGTCTGCTCCCTAAAAGAGGCATTATTATTATTTTCTTGATAGGAAAAATTGGCTCTTGTAGTCAGAAAAGGATACTCATCATTCACTTTTCTGCCTTTTCCTTCAATTCTTTTTGTGTGTGTCCTTCCATGTTGCCTTCTCTCCCAGTACACCAACACCGACTTTGAGAAGGAAGGTACAAAAGGGATATAAATTATTTTAAGGCACTACTTTGATGATCTTCATTTCTTCTTTCACACAAAAGGTTAATAATCATCTTTGAGATACTTAACTTTGGTACCATAATGTTCTGTGTTCTTTGTAGATCGAGCTAAAAGGAGAAAGCTTAGGGAAGAACGGGCATGGCTACTTGCTCAAGGCAAAGAGCTCCCCCCAGAACTTTCCCATCTGGACCCTCATTCCCCAATGAGGGAAGAAAAAAAGGCTAAGGATCTGTGAGTATTTAATAAGAACAATTTTTCTTGTTGTTCTATGCTATGGAGTCAGAACCAGCTTTAGCTGCCCCTCCAGGGTATTTTCAAAGGCTGTAAATTACACAGAGCAGCCGGTCTGGCAGCACAATTCCTTACCACTAGGCCACCAGAGCTCCCTAGTAACAATAGCAGTTGGTAGTATAGACATTGAGCTTTTTGTTTCTCATTTAATTCTTAAAAACCCTATGCAGTAGGCAGTGATATTTTAAAGTGTGGCTTGCATGGACTTGAACTTATATGTGAATGACACCAGTACTTTTCTTGCTCTCATTGTAAAGGAACACAAGAATAGTTTTCACAAAGCTCTCCTTTCATCCCTTGAAACGAATGCTCTCAGAGCCAGTATTATCCTTTAAAGTTGTTTCTAGACAAGCTCCTTATTTTTAATGTTTGTAAATTAATTTTAGAATCTTTACATTATTTCATGCGAAGTAACTAGTTCTTCCTGGAAGCAGGAGCGGCATCCACTTCCAAAATGGCTTGCCTCCGGAAACTCTACATATGAACAGTGCTCAGGCCTTTCGTGCATAGGGTCGCTATGAGTCATCTACGACTCGATGACACCTAACAACAACAACAACTAGTTCTTCTGTCTCCCTTTAAAAATTTAAGAAACAAGCAAATAAATACTCTGTACTCATGAGCTTTCATCAGTTGAATTCTGTGTCATCTAAACCAACTCCATCATTTTTCTAGATGGGGAAAATTATTCCCTTTTTTGCTAAAGAAATCCCTCATATTCTTATTTCTAGGGAGTATCAGTAATGTTACAGACTACTTAGAAGAAATAATATACATATTTTAAATCTTAGTTCATTGATCTTTGGGACTGTAACTAAATTTTCAGTGAGCCATGAAAAGAAAGTGGTCAGAGTTAGCTATTAATTTCTGAATTTATGATTTTCAGGTTTGAGTTGGATGATGATTTCACTGCCATGTATAAAGGTCAGTCACGGTTACATTCTTTATATGATTCTCATGGTGTTCCTTTGTGAGAATGTGAAGTAAGCTCTCTTCTCTCCTTTCAGTCTTAGATGTGGTAAAGGCGCACAAGGATTCATGGCCTTTTTTGGAACCTGTGGATGAATCTTACGCACCTAACTATTACCAGATTATTAAGGTAAAGAATTAAATTGAGAACACACTTGTGCCATATGAATATTTCTAAGTTTTTATTATCCTTTCGTCTTGCTCTGTTCCTTAAAAATCAGGCTTTCTATATGACCCATACCATGGTCTTGGGCAATTCATGACAATACTATTCTTAAACCTTAGGAGCTGAGATTTTGTTTGTTTGGGTCATATATTTTAATTTAAATTGAACAATTGTATGTCCATTTCTAGATCCCTATGGATATTTCAAGCATGGAGAAGAAACTCAACAGTGGCTTATACTGTACCAAGGAGGAATTTGTAAACGATATGAAGACTATGTTCAGGAATTGTCGGAAATATAATGGGGAAAGTAGCGGTAAGTAGGAGAGAGTTTGCTCCAGATAGACATTAGCTTTGCCATTATAATCAAGAATAAAATGCCTTTTCTCCTAGAAATGCACATCTTAATATTCCACAGCTTTCTGTGACTATAAAGAGACTGCATGTTAATTTAAAAGCCAAGAGTTTGGCCGTTTCCACCACTTACACTGTATACGCCAGGACTTCTCCCCAGTCCCACACTGGAACAGAGGGCAGCTGCTCGCTAACTCGGCTTAGGTTATTCCTTATAAACCTAGAGACTAGTCTGGGCTTAGATTATACACCGACAATTCTCTATGGCCAGTTACCACTGTTATCCACAGACTAGGCCAAAACTATGTGGAAATTACTTTGAGATCATACTGAAAAGTCAGCAGGATAGAACTGGCAAAATAATTATATCTCCCAGCTCCTTAAACTTATTTAAGCATTCAGCCATGCTGAGAAATCTTGCGTTGTCTTGCCATGCTTATGGGGATGCTCTCTACCATCTTAATGTTTTTAATGACCACACCCATATACTAATATTCCTCTTTTGAAATGTTTGACAAAATGAACAATTTATTTTAGACAAGCTTATTTATACTTTTCTAATAGGTTATAATTCTGGGGGGTGTCTGAACTTTCACTCAAAATGCCTTAGTTTGAAAACTAGGTCTAGTAACTAAATATTTCTAGAATTTCGTTTTATAGATTTTTCCCCATATACCATGTTCTCCCTTAAATTACTCATAAGAAAGTTCATGGAAATGTCTAGAGTTTGGCTGAAGGAAGTAGATCTCTCCCAAAGTAGGTTGGTGACACTCTACAGAATTAATTTTTACTAGTTTGGAGTAATAGAATCGTTGCGGCAACCATATTATGTTGAGCTTCTTGTGGACAGAAACACTGCCTTATATCTTGAGCCCCTGAATATCATATGGACTCAAGTTGGGTTTACCCCAGAAGAGTCCTTGCTTCTTTACTTATAAGAGAGTTGTCTTATGTTCTATAAGAAGCTACATATGCATTCAATCTTTTCTGTCTTCCTGTCACTATAGAGTATACCAAGATGTCTGACAATTTAGAGAAGTGTTTCCATCGAGCAATGGCGAAACATTTTCCTGGAGAAGATGGAGACACAGATGAAGAATTTTGGATCAGAGAGGATGAAAAGCGAGAAAAGAGACGGAACCGAGCAGGACGGAGCAGTGGAAGCCACGTTTGGACCCGCTCCAGAGAGCCCGACGGAACCGGCAAGAAACAGCAGCCCATGGAGAATGGGGGGAAGTCTTTGCCCCCCACACGCCGCCGCGCCTCCTCCTCTGGGGATGATCATAGCAGCAGCTCCATGCAGCCACCCCGGGAATTGGGCACTTCCAACGGCCAGGGCTTTTCACGTTCCATGCCTTATGGTGGGATGCCCAACCAGACACCTCTTTTAAACCAGATGGTAAGGAACAGCCTAGATTCTACTGTGTTGTCTGCTGTAATAGGTTCATAAGCAAGTAAAAGATAATTAGGTCCTCTTCCAAGATAATTTTTTTGTATATGGACATTTTCTCTTTTCCCTATCTACCTTTTTCATTCTGTTGGGTTATTTTTTTAATGCATCTTTTCTTCCCATCTTCTAATTTGTATATTTTCAACATGGCCAAAAATTTGTTTCTTTAGGGGCAACTATAATCCTATTATTTTTATATATAACGTTCAGGTAAAGAAACTGACCACAAAGTTATACAGTGTTAAAGTTTCATGGTGAGGGTACAATTAAAGGCAAAATGGCTAAAAAGTCTACTTAAAAATTAAAATTACACCAGTTATCATCAAATCAGTTCTGTCAAGGCAACCCAAAGTGTTTCAGTATCAAATTATGTTTTCAGTGGCTTTTCTCTCTCTCTCTGTGTATGTGCACATAAGTTTTTTAGACAACTGAGGGACTCTAGAAGTCTCCATAAAGAAAGCAAAAATCAAGCCTTCATATTTTTTCCAACTTAGACTGACCTTATTACAGGCAAAGTAGAACTGCCTCCTACATTTCCACAGCTGTAAATACTTTTCCACATCTTTTTCCCCACAGTGTTGCCGGTAGTTTAAACCTGATCCTTATTACTTCAAACTTTGCATCTTCAAAGCCTGATAGTTGGGGTTGGGGTGGGCACAGAAGTAATACTGATTTAAACTTACTGCTGCTTTTTTTTTCAATGTTTTCTTAATATTAATTTCAAAGAATATTTAGAGACTTTGGATTTCCATTCATTGTTGCACTTTTCTCCCCACCCACCACTCCTCCCTCCGACCCAAATGCACTCCCTTCTTGGAAAAGTAAAAAAAAAATTCTTTTGTTGTTTTTTAATCCCTCCCCCCCCCAGGTCCACTCCACTATGCAGTCTTTGTTCTGGACTCCTGTCATGACAAAAATACCTAATCACATATCCATTTTAAATAGTTTTCTTCCTCATCTATTTCAATGCAGTATATGTTATTTATCCCATCTTTCTCCATCTCCCTCCAAACCCAATGTCAGTCCTGTTTTACAACAGTGGCACCATGTAGTATTTGTCCTTTTGTGACTGAGATACTTCACCCAGCATAATGTCCTCCAGGATCACCCATTTTGAATAATATTGCATGAGTTCCTTGTTTTTCAATGCAGCATAGTATTCCATTGTGTGAATATACCAGACAGAGCTTCTCTATCCATTGATTTGTTGATGGGCAATTAGGTTGTTTCCAACTCCTTGCTATTGTGAACAAAGCCGCGATAAACATGGGTGTGCATAATCTTATTGCTCTTAAAGAACAAAATTGCTTTGGTCTTAAGGGCTAGTTCTGGTCTTGGCCAGGCCAGAGGTTAGTATTCTGCCCTTTCTTGACCCCGTATGCTAGTTTTTAGTGGTCTGTGATTTTGGTCATTGGTAGTTTTATCTCTGTGTTCATTTTCTTTCCTCCTTGTTTTCTCCCATGGTGGTGTCCAGAGGCCTGCAGTGCCAGGAGCCTTTGGCCCTCTTCAAGGATCAGACCCTGCCAACTTTTACGGCTCCTCTCGAGTCCCAGAACCACATCCAGGAGAGCAGCATCAAGTTTTTGCCATGCAGGTAAGCAACCTCCTCAGAAATGTGGGTGCAGAGGGTCTTCGAGATCAGTTTTAGAAATGCAGCAGCCTCAGCCTGGTGCCAGGAGGCTGCACTGCAGTCCCAGCGGCACACGGTCCAAACCCACCAGATTCTCTGCTGGAGAAAGGGACGATCTTCTCCTGAACCAGTCAGACCTGATTTGATGGTACACACACTCAAAATAATTTAAAAATAAATAAATAATTGTTTGTTTGTTTGTTTGTTTGTTTGTTTGTTTGTTTGTTTTTAAAAAATGTAGCCTCCTCTTACATTCTGTGTAATTCACCATTTCCTGTGTGGAGAGGCTGTCCCTGTAAGTGGTGCACATACAAGATTCGTTGGTCTGGTGAACTCTGCTCTCCTCTCTTCTTGCAGCCTCCTGTTGGAATTAACAATCACCGAGGACCCAGACTAGGAACACCTGAAGAAAAGCAAGCGTGTGGGGGTTTGACACACCTCTCTAACATGGGAGCACATCCTGGATCCTTACAGCTTGGGCAGATGAGTGGCCCCAATCAGGAGGGAAATTTGTATCCCCCGCCTCAGTTCCAGCCAGGATTTATTCCACCCAGACAGAGTGGGGTTCCTCCCCGACCACCTGATTTTCCTGAAAACTCAGAAATCCCTCCCACTCATATGTACCGCTCATACAAGTACCTGAATCGTGTGCCGCCTGCTGTCTGGAATGGGAGCCATGGTGCTGCACACCCAGGACCCCTGGGGCCGGATGACAAGCTTCCACTGGGACCAGGGCCTTCTCACCAGCCTCACTCTCTTGGTCATATGATGGATTCCCGAGTGATGAGACCACCGCTCCCTCCAAACCAGTGGAATGAACAATCAAGTTTTCTACCTCATGGAGCTCCTTCTTCAGGGTATATGCGACCACCCTGCAAATCTGCTGGACATCGGTTACAGGCTCCAGCCGCTGCACATGGTTCCCTGTATGGAGCACCCCCCCAGGCTCTGCGGGGGGTCCCAGGAGGGGACTCCATGATGGACAGCCCAGAGATGATTGCCATGCAGCAGCTCTCCTCCCGTGTTTGCCCACCAGGTGTGCCTTACCACCCCCAGCAGCCCACTCCTCCCCATCTGCCTGGCTCTTTTCCACAGGTACCTCACTCAGCATCAGTAAGTTTGTCAACCTCCAAGCCTGACTTGGGGAACACTGGGAGAACACAGGATAACAGTGAAACAAAAGATCCTGAGAATGATGGAGGTAATTGACGTTATCACTTTTGGCTCCTTAAGCTGTTAGGACATGAGTAGTCTTGTCACACAAAGCAGCAAATCAAATAAAAACTGGTACCACCTTCGTTTGCTTGAACTTTACATTTCTGGACCAACGATAGTACTGTTTTTAATCCTAATATCAAAAAGATTTTTCTAGTAATGGTGATCACTACGTAGATGTGGAATGCTCCATGCACAGCACCCTTTTTGTGAGTTTATGTGTACTCATTAAACCTCCAAACAAGCTTTACAGATAGCTGCTGCTATTATTATTAATTTTTATTATTATCATCATCATCCATTTTTTTAATAGCTAGAGAAACAGACACAGAGCTATTCAGACTCCTATTGCTGTTAAATTGGGATTGACTTGTAGCTGACCCTCTTTTTTTTTTTTTTTTTAAATTTATTATTTTGTGTGTGTGTGTACTGTCAAATGGGACCTGATTGGTACAGGAGGAGATTGCCCCTCCTTCTCCAGCAGAGCATCTGGTGGATTCAAACTGTGCACCTCTGGGATTGCCGTGCAGCTTCTTGCCACCAGAACTGCCCATAGCTGACCCTCTTAATGAGAGTCAGAGGCAGCCAGTGGACTTGAATTACCAGAGAGGCCTTGCCTTTGGTTGGTCTCACGTCTCCCTATGGATGGTGCCAGCAGAGCTCCACAGAGATACTAACTGCCCATCTAAAAGCAGAGGAGCCGAGCCCAACTGGATCCGATGTATGAAGAGTAGTGACATCTAACAAATATACCATTTCATCTGTAAGAGTTAGATGAAAAGAATACTTTTAGAATTGAGATCAGGGGAGCTCTGGTGGCCTAGTGGCAAGATGCTGCACTGCAATTCCAGAAGTATGCGGTTCAAATCCACCAGATGCTCTGCTGGAGAAGGAGGAGGCAATCTCCTCCTGTACCAGTCAGATCTGATTTGACGGTACATGTAAAAATAATACAATAAAAATTTTAAAAAAGAGAATTAAGATCAATGTCTAAATGTATTACATGTCTGGTTAGCATATGGATAAAAAATGGAGACACTTGATATTTTGTCAAACACAAAATTAAGGATATGCCTAGAATTCAGTTTATCTTTCCAAGAACAGCTTATTTTGTGAATACCAACTCTATTGGAATGTTCTGGCATTCACTTTCATTGAGAACCCTGCTGGCCTTGTGTGATAAGCATTGAGCTGCTCACCAAAAGGTCATTAATTTGGACCCACCAGCCACTCTGAGAGAAAAATGAAACTGTGCTTCCATAAAGATTTACAGCCACAGTGTACCCCCTGGGTGGCTAGCTCTGCTCTGTCCTGTACAACCAGTAATGGGTGGATAGATTTCAACTGGTGTCTGGATTGAAGCCTTTGAAGAAAGAGTCCTACAGGTGAAATTCTGGTTGAGTCTGTTACATTAGTATTTTATATTGACAGAATAATAGAAAACATGTATTTTAATTTTCATTGCATGACTCATACCTTCCATAGTTGAAGCCAGATTCACAGGTAGCCTGAGAACCTAGTAAATCTTCGAAGGTTATTTTTTATTCTTACTCTTGTCCTCTCCCCTACCTCAACCCCCTAAAAAGCTTAAAAGAAGACAGTATGGAATGAATCAGTAATAGAGATAAGGAAGTGAGGTAGTTGAGTATATATTTACTTGGTTTCATTTTTAGTCTTATGCTGTAAACATGTTCTCAAGACACCTATACAATATTAATACATATCCATTTAATAAACAATTGACTGCCTCTCCATTGTGTGTAGGTTATCAGTACGAAAGTAGGGAACAGCATGTTTACATTCTGATGAAGCAGAAATGCCTGAGTGTCGGTGATGCCCTGGTCCTCACTATGTGAATTTCAGAGTTTCTCAGTCTGGCCATCAATTCTAGTCACAGATACAGCTTCCTGCCATCTTCCACGCACATCTGCCTGGAATCCATAAGCCATAAATGACTTTACAAGACTTTTCTTACTTGCCTGACTAGGACAACACGGAAGGAAGGAACAGAATGTCCATTCTTGATAGACCTTTGAATTTGCTTAGAGGTACTCACTTTTAGCACTAGGCCCACAAAAAGGCCTGTTAAAAGGATTCAAAGAGTTTGAGTTATAGTACTCAACTTTAACCTTCTTTACTCTCTTGGGTGTTTATCCTCTTCCAGCACCCGCCAGCAGTATTGTTTCAGCTATCAATGTATGTTTTTCTCCATTTTCCTTTCAGCAGAGCCCTTACCAGGGCTTGAGGAGAAACCACCAAGTGTTGGTGCTTCAGAGGGGGTGTACCTCAAACAACTACCTCACCCTACACCTCCCCTACAGACAGATGGTACCAAGCAGAGCTCACCTCAAGAAAGGGAAGCAGAAGGTGCAGAGCTCAAAAACGACTCCTCAGAAACTGGGGACAACTGCAAAGCAACCAAGGGCAACAGCACCTGGCGCTCAGACGCCAGCTACACGAGCCCAACTGCACAAGGATGTATGGGAGACCTCTCCACTGTGGCCGAGAAAGGGCCTCTACCCGAAAATGGAGTGCTTGGTGAAGCCTCCTCATGTGGATCAGAGGGCAAGAATCTTGGGGGCTGTGGTTCAGAAAAACCACTCTGCCCGAGAGGCAAAGCATTGCCAGAAACCATGCCATGTGCAGGACAGAATGCCCCGACACCTCCCAACGCAGATCCCAGTTTGATGGGAGGCCCTGTGAGCCAGTTTTCTCCCCTGTACATGTCAGGCCTGGAATACCCGAATTCGGCTGCACATTACCACATCAGCCCAGGCCTGCAAGGTTTGGGCCCAATGATGGAGAAATCCTCGATGTCCCATCCTCAGCATTTCCCACCTAGGGGCTTCCAGTCTAATAACCCTCATTCTGGCATCTTCCCCCACTATCGCCCCCACCAAGGAATGAGATATTCTTACCAGCCACCACCTCAGCCTCCCTACCATCACTACCAGCGAACTCCTTATTACACATGTCCACAGGGATTTTCAGACTGGCAGAGACCTCTCCATCCCCAGGGAAGCCCAGGTGGGCCCCCATTTACTCAGCCTCCTCCACCTAGGCCCCTCTTCACAGATAAGAATGCTGTGACTAGCCTACAAGGCTGTGAGACACTTAATGCTGCCTTAACTTCTCCAACCCGGATGGATGTGGCCACTAAGGTTGTTCCAGCTGATGGGCAGAATCCTGGTCCGGAGGATGAGAAGCTGGATGAATCTATGGAAAGGCCAGAGAGTCCCAAAGAGTTTTTAGACCTGGACAACCATAATGCAGCTACCAAACGACAAAGTTCCTTGTCAGCCAACGAATATCTTTATGGAACTCCTCCTCCACCTGTGGGTTCAGGAATGGGTTTTGGTTCATCTGCTTTCCCACCCCATGGCATGATGCTACCGTCGGGGCCTCCATACACACCTCAGCGGCCAGCCAGTCACTTCCAGCCCCGGGCTTACTCTTCTCCTGTGACTGCTCACCCACCTCACCATCCAGTGGCTGCCCAGCCCAATGGCCTCCCTCAGGAGGGCCCCGTCTACCGCTGCCAGGAGGAAGCCATGGGTCACTTTCAAGCTGTAATGATGGAACAAATTGGCACTGCAAGTGGGATAAGGGGACCTTTCCAGGAAGTGTACAGACCATCAGGGTAAGATTGCATTTTATAGTTTTGCTTGTGTCTGAAAGAAGAAAAGATATTAATTGTCAAAGGAAAAATTAGTTCATAAAAGACCAAAAGATTCAGTAGCCTGAGACCAAGAAAGTGTGTAAATCGCTGATGTTGGGACTTAAGAGGCTTTTCTTTGACTTGTCCTTTTTCTTTAATAAAATGAATTGGCATTTAAATGATTAACTAGATTTGATATTAGAAAATTGTTAAACCTGAATTGAGCACTCTTGGCACAAGCAGAGAGGTTTTAGACACTCTGGTCTCTTTCAGTCTCTGGAGAAGAGCACAGGAGATCATCATGATTTTAAATGTTACTCCCTTGTCCTGTCTTCCTCTGTCATTCAGTGAAAACCCCAGGCTCATGCAAAATGGGAACAAGTCACATTTGAGAACTCTTCTGAATGAGCCTTTCGAAAGCCAAAAGAAATGCAGGGATTGCACATTATTAATGTGAAAAGGATGGTTAGGTAAAGTTGCTTATATTAAAGTTACAAATCATAATGTTTTAAGATCCTAATGAAAAATTAATTTTTTAAAGCTTTCACTATTCCTACAATAAAAAAACTGAATAAAGAATTAAAAAAAAACCTACTAATTAGAAAAACTAATTAGAAAATCATTAAAAGTTGCAAACTCTAATCATGTAATGAATACCATCAAACCAATGGGAACCAAGAGAAACCCAGTGTGTTCCATTATCTGACCACCATAACTTTCCTGGCCCACAGTTAACATGTTGTCATATTTACTATATATCTTTCCGGAGGTGTGCTTTTTATTACTTTGTTTTTCCAAACAGCTAGAAAGTAAGCTTCAGACATCATAGCTTTTTATCCTATACTTTAGTATATCTTTTTGCTACAATCTCAAACCCATTATCATGTCCAAGGAAAATAACAGTAACTAATGTAGAGTTTCTTTTTTTAACTGTGTTTGTCTATTTTGCTTTATTTTATGATCCAAAATACAATTTAAGGTCACACTTGTACTGGTTGCTCTGAATGTCTGATTTACAGCAATCCTAGCACTGATTTTGCTCTGATTTTTCAAAGTGTCTGGGTTAGTTCTGATATAGAGTATCCCAGGTTCTGAATCTACCTCATTATTTTCTCATACTTGGTCAGATTAAGCACTTTTAACCTTTTTGTTGTGATTTGAATGACAATTTACACAGCAAATAGCTTTCCTGTTAAATATTCATGCATGTTTTTGTTTCATTACTTTTCTTTTTCTTGTTGTGTACTGTCGAAACGGATCCGACTGGCACAGGAGGAGATTGCCCCTCCTTCTCCAGTGGAGCATTTGGAGGATTCAAACCATGTACCTTTGGGGTTGCTGTGCAGCTTCTTGCCACTAGGCCACCAAAGCTCCTTTAGTCCCCCCATGTTTTGATCTCATAAAGGTGTTCTGAGGAATACTCACCCTCATAGTGCTGTCACTCACCTTCCAGGCTTATCCAACATGTGGCTGAAAGCAGAGCCACAGGGGTGAGTTGAGTTCCAGTCTTCAAATGTGATTAAAGGCCACAGTCCAGGACTTCCAGTCTTTCTCAGACCAGTAAACTGGCTCTTTCTGTATTTCTCCTACTCTGTACAGGATCTTCTGTTCATTAATAGCCAGACACTGTCCAGTTTTCTAGTCTCAGGGCCGTGGTGGTGTTGAGTACCATTGAGTCAGAACTGACCCACAGCTGACCCTCGAGCGGGTTTTCAGAGGCAGGAAGAGATTGTATTGCCCATCTTTCTCCTGTGGAGCTGCTGGTGGATTTGAACCACATGGTTTTCATCTTTGATTTTCTTCGTTCTTAATTTGCTTTGGATAGGGAGACAGTAGTAGTTTACACTTCTGTCATGTCGGTTTTGACTGCATCATCCCAGAAGTTTATAATACTGATTTGTCTCATTGATTACTTGGTAATTCAGGCTCTCTGAAATCTTCAAAGTATCCTTTTTTTGTCCATACTATTGATAAACCCTCCTTAATTCTTAACCATTTCTTATGATTATAGAATGCAGATGCATCCTGTCCACTCACAGTCCCCGTTCCCAAAGACTCCAGCACCAGCAACATCACAGGAAGAGCTGCCACCACATAAGCCCCCAACACTTCCTCTGGATCAGGTAAGCATTCTAGAGTATTAGTTCTTTCCTGACTCATAAGTGGATGTCAAAAAAAAACAACTTGTATTCCAATGTTCATAAGAGCCAAAAGGTGGACATAACCCAAATGAATGGATAAACAAAACGTGGTATTGTTGTTGTTGTTGTTGTTGTTGTTGTTGTTGTTACGTGCCGTTGAGTCGCTTGCAACTCATAGCAACCCTCTGTACAACAGCTCTGACTCCTGCTCTATACATATGTTGTAGGTTGTTGTTGTGCTGTCGAGTCACTTGCTACTCAGAGCAGCCCTGTGTACAACAACCCTAAACCCTGTTCTATCCTGTGCCAATCTCACTGTCTCAAATGCGCCTATCCCCATTACCCCAGTCATTGAATAAATCCATCTCATCAAGGGTCTTCCTCTCCTGCGCCAACCCTCCACCCTGCCAAGCATGACAGCCCTCTCCAAGGACCAGTCCCTCTTTGCAACATGTCCAAAGTACGTCAGACAAAGCTTCAGAATCCTTGCCTCCAAAGAGCATCCTGGTTTCACTCTCTCTAGGACCAGCTTATTCTAGCAGTCCATAGTATATGCAGTTCTCTTCTCCAGCATAACAGCTCAAAGGCATCAACTCTCTTATCATCCTTAGTCATTGTGTAGCTCTCTGAAGCATAGCAGGTAATGGCAAAGACCATGGCCTGTATCAGGCGCACCTTAGTCTCAGACTGACATCATTGCTCCTCAGTACCTTGGTGAGGTCTCTGACAGCAGACCTTCCCAATGCAATTAGTCTTCCTGGCTGCTGGTACCAAGAGTGTTGATTGTAGATCCAAGCAAACTGAAGCTGTCAACAATCTCAGTCTCTTCACTATCTATCATGATGCTGTCAATTGGCCCAGTGGTGAGAATTTTGTTTTCTTGACATTGAGCTTCAATCCATATTGACGGCTGCAATCCTTGACCTTCTGTGACAAGTACCTCAGGTCCTCCTCAGTTTCCACAAGTAGAGTTGTGTCATCTACATAACACAAATTGTTGATGAGTCTACCTCCAATCCTGCTGCCACACTTCTCCTCATAGAGCCCAGCCTCCTGGATAATCTGTTCTGCATATAGATTGAAAAGATATGGAGCTAGGACACATCCCTGGCATACACCCTTCCAATTTTGAGCCATGCAGTATTTTATTACTCTGTTCTGATGACTGCCTCCTGATCCAAGTATAAGTTTGCATAAGCACAATCAAGTGTCCTGGGATTCCCATTCCTCTCAAAATCAGCCATAGTTTGTTGTGATCCACACAGCCTTGCTACAGTATAAGTGCAAAAAAAAACAAAACAAAAAAAAAAAACAACAAGAAGCTAGGTGAATAAAATCACATACCAAGGTCACATTTTTGTTTTCTAATGCTTACATAAAATATCTAGGGTATATAAGGACCTAGACACAGAAAGCATATTAGCAGTTTCCAGGAAATGGAGAATGGGAATCGACTGCTTAATGGGCGTGGGATTTCCTTTTATGGCTGTGAAAAGTCTATTGAACTAGATAGAGGTGATTGTTATACCATGCTGTGAATGGAATTAATGTTACTGAATTGCACACTTTACAATATTTGACTATTCATACATACTTTGTTTTGTAAGGTTAATACCCACAATGTAATCGCACTTTTCCTTTTTCCTCCCTGTAATTCTAATTTCCTTTTGTCCTTATACCTGACTGCTTTGCTTTTTTTAGTGAGAGTGTGTTATTGTATATTCCCTTTTCTTTCACCCATTTTTTTTTAACAATTGTATCTTACTTTGTTTTCTCTCAGAGCTAGTCCAAGGAGGAAGTAAACCCCCAGGAAATTGAAAGCTGCACATGAAGACTGGATCATGAAGAACTTGGGGAAACGGTCCATACCTATCTCTAATTCTGTCCCCGGACCCTCACTGTGCATCCCTTCCTGCCGTCCCAGTGCTGAAGCCATTCATGGGACCCTAACAGCGCACTCCTTAAGACAGTTGGCACACGGGCGGCGGTGGCATCAGAGGGCTCTTGGTGTAGATATAGACAGCCCGGAAGAACAAATGCATCTGGTGATTTTTCCAAGTCCTGAGACTCGTTCATGGAAAATCATTGTATACTTGGGAAAGGGGGCATACTTAAGAATGGAGTAATGGTTTAAAATTTTTGTGAGCAGCTAAACTCAGGTATATATTTGGGGAAGGGAATTCGTAGTATTAATGTGTTTGGAGCTGGGTCCAGTTTACAGAATTTTCCTGTTGCCTTTGAAAATAATTTTTGTTGTTGGTGGTGAATGTATTGTACATAAAGTGGGGAGGGTGGGTGGGGATGTGGAAGAGATAGGCATCCCAACTGTGGGGGGCACACAGCACTGGAGTGATACTTAACTGTTTACAATCATGTCACACTGAATAATTTTGGGAGGGTAGGAAAGGTTTTACCTTGTAATCCATCACTGTCTTTGTAGCTGTCCGTCCTTTAAGAGCTAAAGGCCTTCTAATCAGCTTAAGAGAGTATAGTTACATCTAACCCCTTAACCACTAGCTTCTCAGTTCAGAGGCAGAATACTCTGCCCTGGCCTCCCAGAAGCTTCAACACAGGAGACAAGACTGCGCTCTCACTTGGGTGGCCCCAATCCTGAATTTAGCAAAGTGGTGCCACTTCAAATTCTCTTAGTCCTGATTGTGCCACCAGCCCCACTGGATAGCTGTAAACCCATGTCAGGAACTGGGATCACTGGAGTGTTTTCAATTTTTAGAAGATTTAATGAATTGTCCTTCTGTTGGACCTGCCAGGACTGTGATCTGGAAAGCCTTAGAATGCGCTTTCTGGCACAAATCACATTCTGTGGAAGTGACTACTCAGGTTTGTATATGTTAGTATCAATAAAGATATTGCACAGTTTTTTAATAGGGGAAAATATATTCTGTAGGTTTACAGTTTGGATTTAGGAATATTTCAGTATATATAGTTTTTATTCATTTTAAGTGAATCATCATAAGAATCAGTCACAATGATTTAAAATAGCTATCAAGAACAAATCCTTGGATATCATTTGTTATACCTGTGATAGGAAGCCCTTTTTGCAGTATTAAATTGCTTTCTTACAGTTATAGATGTGAATTACACCAGATTTTCCTTAGTGTTCTGTGTTCAGTTTTAGCTTAAGATGCCACCAAAGTTAGGACTCACACAAAAGAAGAGGAAGCTATGGAAAATGCCCTGAAATTACAACTGTGTAAAGAAAGAATAGCATATTTTTAAGTATGCTTTTGGGATAGTAGAAAACTTCCATGCAATATCCATGTGTCCTTGTTTCTTATCTGCAGAAAGGGCCAGTAGAGCTCTTCTGTCTAATTCTAGGGTCCTTGAAGAAGCATAGAACTTTCATTTACATGTTTAAAGTTTGCTAAGTATGTGATGTCAGTGGGAAAGTATAAAAATGTGGAACGTTCGTGTTACACTGATAGAGCCCAAGACAGCAGCTCAAGTACAATGGAAGTCGAATAGAAGATGAATGCTGAATAACCTGATCGTGTGGCTTAGGGTTCAGGCAGGTAGGGAGAGGTGAGTAGAGGATACAGAGGCCTTTGGGTACAATGCACAGAAAGTAATTTTTCTCTAATAGAGACTTGAATTTTAAATGTTTTCAATGAGTTTTGAAGCCATTTTCTCCTTTTACTGTCATTCTTCAAAAATCTACCACTGCTGTACATGATTTATGCACTGCTCCTTCAGGAAGAACAGAGTAGATAAGTACTAAATCTGTATAAACCAGTGCAGCTGAAAGTACAGCTTCTGTTTCTGTTGTTTGTGCAAAAGCAGAGAGAAAAACACTACTAACAGATCTTTCTGGTTCATTTGGGCAGGTTAGGCCTGGTCCAGGCCCAAAACTTTCTTCCTCTGACAGCCTCTATCTACATATTAAAGCGGAATGAGAGGTCTGTGACTCCTCCCTGCACAACCTTGGTGCTAAAGCTGTCAGGGGTCCTTTACACTGCATAACCAGGGGTGTGGACACTAAGCAATAGATAGGTTCCTTTGTACCTTTTCCTTCAGAGTTCATAATATGTAAGTCAACTACACACTGTTCCAGGTAAACTCCCACAATTGCCTGTTACTAAGGAGAAGCTGTGAACTATGTAGGAAGAAATCAGGAACTTCCTTCATTCTGGATCTTCCTTCATATTTTGGTTAGAGGTGAGAAAATATTAAGGAAGAGCAATAGGAAATTGAACTACTGTATTAAGTTATATCACTGTGAAACAAGAGCAGCTGCAAAATAACTGCCTCATTGTATCCCTCTTGGGAATTTGGTTGTGCATTAAGGACACTGAGCTTCATCCCTTTATCTGGTGTCTTTAGCTTATGCTGGTGTTTGAGATGCAGACCTGTAATAAATTGTCAGGAGCTGCAAGGTCACAGAGCACACAGGATTGTGAGCTGCTGGAAACCACTAAACCATTTGTGTACACAGACTCTGTCGTTTTTTCTCCTTTTTTTCCTCCTCTAGCACTCCTCTTTCCAAGTGTCCTAAACAGATGCACTGTCTTAAAGGCAGATGCAGGTGCATTTGTCATCATCTCTACTAGGGAAATGGTGATTATATGATGTAATTAGAAGTAGTACATAAAGGTGTCCTACAGAGGTTTGCTCTCGGGCTAGAGGGATATTTCCTACTATAGGTCACTGTCGCTTGTCAGTGTGCTGGCTCTCAGAAGTCCCCGAAGGGATAGTTGAGATCCATGGATCATTGGAAATTGATTACACCTATTTTATTTTACATTCATGACTTTTTAAAAACTATCTTCACCACCACCACCCCAAAAGACCCAAGAGAAATAAAAGGTTCAGAGAAGAAATGTAGGGCCTTTGGAAAACTGTCTTTTATTTTACTTCTGCTGTTCATTTTTAAAAGTAGCAGGAGTTTTTGGCTGATATATAGTAGGTGCAAGTGTATATGGATGCATGTGGAGCATAAGGACAAAATATGCAAGATATTTATCCATATAACTGTTAAGATCTCACTCCTTAAAAATCAAACCATCCTCTATCTGTTCTTTGTCAGGTTAGCTTAGTTCTTGTAATTCACATGAATTTATGGCCAACTCTTTATTTTTACATATATATATATGTATATATACACACACACACACTCTCTCTCTCACTGTCAGCCTACTCAAAAGGCAGACTTTTTCATGATTATCTTTACTTTTATCTGGATATAAAAATGGAATTTAAGAGCTGTAGATTGTACCTTTTTATGCATTAAGACCTCAGCTTTACCTGTGGGTCACAGCCTTCCATCTTGGAAGTGCTTTTGTGTGCCTGATGAAAACTCCATACCAGGCCCTTGTCACCACAGATACCAGTAACAAGCATTCACTCAGTCCGTACCACTTGATTGATCTTTTTTGATTGATTGTTTTTGTGAGGGTTTTTTTTTTTTAGGTTGGTTTTGTGTGGTGGGTTTTGTTTGATTTTTTTGGGGTTGGTTTTTTTGTGGTTTTTTTTTTAATGGAAGTTGAAATCTACAAGTAATATACTGCTTTTGAGCCTGAACTTGAAATTTCACAAGAAGTCTGAGCCCAACAATTCTAAAACAAAGATGTGTTTTCAGAAATCCTCTGCTTTCAAGGATGTGAAAGGCTCTAGTGTTATGACCTTCTTTGTGTCTGTTGGTTTACCCCCTGGCCAGATTCTTTCTGGACCCTACTGCAGAAGCTAAGTCTGTACATAAGTGAGCCATGGACTGTGCAGTCCTGCATATTTCTGCTTCAGAGTCCCTGCTGCTAGTTCTCTAGACAGCAGCTACCACAAGGATGCTTTGGGAAATCCAAACATGGGTGAACACTACTAGATCCATCTCTCAAATTAAGCTGTGATACATATTTTGTCTCCAAGCTGTGTGTCTTCTCATTCTGGGCTCTGTAGACCTCTGCTTAACATTTAGAGGGGCTGTCCCCTGCACTTGGTTTGAACCTTTTACCTAATCTTTCTCACCCTGTACCAGGGCACTGACTGAACTAACTCTTCTCTTGAAATAACCAGCCAATCATCCTGCATGTGGTTCTGAAAGAGGTGGGGTGGGGTCAGGGGTGTGGATATTAAGTTATTGACATGCTGAACCTTGTTCAGTGTGCTGTCTGTGGCCCCCCTCCTCCCTCTGGGGCTTGGGTACCCCACTGCCTTCCATACAGCTCCTGAGCGCCCAGGTCGGGCTCCCCAAGCCTGCAGCGCAGTGTCAGGGATTCTTCGCTCCTGCTGCAAATGCCGTGTGAACTTTCCTGGCCAGTACTGGAAAGGGGAATGCTATTTATTTTTATATTGTGTATATTTTGTCGTGGTCTGCTGATTCCCTGTTTTCACTGAGAGCGACATTTACCTCAATAGTTAGTTCAATATTGTGTGTTGGATAATTTTTTTTTAAAGAACTTTTAAAAAAGCTTTTTGATCCTTGGAGGTCTGTAGATTTATTTCCATATGAACTGGTTATTTTGTATAAAGTGCATTCTTAAAATAGCACAGTTCTGGTGTGCGTGTGGTGTGTGTCCACTTGTCACTTTTATCCCCAGTGTAAATTTTCATCAGGCTAGAGGCCTCAGTGGCATCATCTGATGTGCCATTATTTCGCCAACTCAGCTTCATTTATAATCCTCAGAGATGAGCACTGTGCCAGGGGAGTGTGAAGCAGGGTCTGTACAGAACTTTAAAACGGGAAAAGTGATTGACAATTCTAAACCACACTGAGGATAAAAATCCCCTGCCCAGCTGGGCAGTCTGAGCCCACTTTGGGTCCATTGCCAATGTGTTACTCAATGCCAGCCCTTGGTACACCACTGGTATTTGTTTTCAGAATATGCTATATATCTTTTCTACATTCATTTTACCTCTTTTCAGAATCTAAAGTGAACTAGGGGCCCGTGAGGAGAATATGAGGCAACTCTAGCCTGAATCCAACTCTGAGATTAAAGTCAGCTAAAAGTGGAAACCACAAGCTTAAGGAAGCCAGTGCTCTTCTGCTTGCTTCCTTTAATTTTCACTTCTGCTTCCTGGGGGTTTTCTTACTGAGGCCAGGGGACAATATTTAGTAATTAGCTATATTCTTAATCAGTTACCTATACTCTTTAAGATTTAAATTTCTGGCCTGTTTTGACCTTTAAATAATCTTATTCAGTTAAAATTCCACAATAAATAATACCGCCCATTTCTAAATTTGTTGTTTATTCATGTTTATAACTTTCTATGACTGATACAGGCCATAGTCTTTTTAGTCACTTGCAGTACATCTGAGAGCTGGAGAGTAAGTAAGGATGACAGAAGAATTACTGATACCTTTGAACTGTGGTGGTGTAGAAGAGTGCTGAATATCCCAGTGCTGACTACCAAAAGAATATGCAGATAAGTCTTGGAGAAGGTACAGCCAGAGTGCTCCTTGGAGGCAAACATGATGAAGCTTCATCTCACGTACTTCAAGCATGTTGTTAGAAGTTCCCATTCTTGGAAAGGTGGAAGGACGGTGAAGAAGAGGAGATCCTCAACAGGTGGATTGATACAGTTCTGCAGCAGTGGGCTTGAGTGTGTCAGTGATTGTGAGGATGACACAGGATAGGACAGGGTGCAGATCTGTTGCTCATGGGATCACTATGAGTTGGTCTCAACTGGACAGCACCAAACAACAAGCTGTGACACATCTTTCAGGTCTTGATCTCTAGTTAATTGTATGGAGTAGATTATCCTCATGAGGAGATGATTATTGTCTAGTATATATTAGACACATTGACCTTACGGCTATTTTATATCTAGTTTCAGTGTTCTCCTGTAAGATGAGCATGTGTAAAATGTTGGTAGCATTTTCCCTACATTTTTCTACATTTCCTTACAAAAATCAGCTTTCAAGCGAAAACCAGGTTTGAAATTACACTGGTCAGATTATCGTGATTCCTTGCTTCATTTTGCCTTGGTGGAGTAGGCTAACATGGTAATTAATCTTCTTCTAACTTCACGGTGTTCTTACCAGAACCTTTGCATCTGTAACACTGTCACCAGAGGCCAGAATTTTTGACCATTGACAGTTTTCAGTTATGGTAAAGTCTCCCTGCATCTTGGTTATCAGTTTTTAAAAGAGAACATCTGTATTATCTGTATTATATATCTGTCTTAGTTTCTTGTCTGTAACCAAGCCTCCTCTGGCTTCCTTAAGTAATTTTAGAGCAAGATGGACACAATACTAACTTTTAAAAAAGAAAGAAAAGGCAGCTAAATCCCAGATTTGGCTATTGTACACTGGAAGTTCTGAACCTCTTCTGTATCCATGACATGCATATAAATTCAGGAGCCCTTTAAAAGACTTCAGGTTTGCGAAAGGCAGTGTGCTCCCAACATCCTGGATTTGAAACTCATTTGAGAATGTTGTAGCTCTGTGTCTGGCCAGCCAGAATTTTAAATAGTAATGGAGCCTGTTGTTGGGATTGTAACTAGTGTTTTGGCTTTGGAAGGTATTGATTAAATACGAGGAAGCCTG